GCAGCAGAAGAGCAATGGCTAGTCGGGGGGGTGCCCCTTTTAGCATGCGTCTCTGCAAAGTTCAGGCAGCTGCACCAGGAAGTACATGCTGCCCCTGTGACCTGGCAAAGGAGTTCCGGGTACATTCTTCTGTCGACAGAGCGTCCTGCAGTCTGGACGCTCTCTGTCGACAAAGAAAAAACTTTTGTCTATAGTTTTGTCTATAGCTTCCGTAGTCTGGACGCTCTTTGTCGACAGAAGTTTTGTCGACAGTATCTGTCGACAAAACTTCTGTCGACAAAGCGCGGTAGTCTAGACGTACCCTTAGATAGGTCCTATTCTATTTCATATTTAGTGCATTTGTTCTCATCTCTGCTGTGACTCGTGAAAAGAGCTCTTGCCTTCTCTCTTTTTTTCTTTTTTAACCTAAGCGCTCTTATTAGCATGTGATGGCAGATGTAGCAACCCCACTGTGGATTGTAAAACTCCACAAACAAATTTCACACCACTCGTGGAATAGAGAAGTTGTATTTTTATTGTTTTTGTAGAAAAAACATCAAGCTTTTCTGCCTCCAATTTTTACCACTACATTAAGCAGTGCTTATTGTGCCTCCAAACTCCTTTTTCCATGATCCCTACACCGTGAATGGGACACATTATTTCTTTTGAAGCATCTGGTATATCTATGAATGTGAATGGCAGCACAGTGGACATGACGGAGCAATATTTTGATCTGTTGAATAGCCATTTTGCTTTAGATAAAGGAAAAACTGTAATGGAAGCCAGAGAATGCCATAGCTGCACACTCTAAACAAATAAATAAAATAGATGACTATCAGATGATCTGTTAATCAACAGCATGATGAATGCATGCTAAGTCTGAGTCCATGGAACTCATGGGTTATGATGAGAAATCAATCGGTTTGATTTCATGATAGTATTTCTCTGGGATCAAGTTAAAGATGATCTGGGACAATGGCCCTGTGGCCCAGATCTTGTCTTCTCACAGTGGCCAATGCGCTTCAGAGGGAATCAACAGAAGAGGAAATCAAGTGATCCATCTACCTAAGGTAATAATTATACAACATTCCCTTGAGCACACTGGTCAGCATTTTAAAAAATGACTAGTTATTTTGGGAGCTATATATTTGTGGGAGCTATATATTTGTGACACCTTAAAGAGGCTCACTTTCTGAGGATGGGATTTTCAGCAATTTCTGAAAATTGGCATCCAGAACTGAGGAAGTTAAAATCACTAGACACTGACCATGTCATTGACCATGACTGGATCTCCTTTTTTCAGCTCCTAAATGTCAATAAAAGAAGCTAAAGTGGGAGTGAATTATTTGTAAATTTTAATTTTCCAGATAAACAGTTGCCGTATTTCCTCACGATAGGGGAAATATCTGAACAATTTGTCAATGTAAAAGTCGTAAAAGTTCTTGATTGCCTTGATTTTTAGGCCACCCATCATATGTCTGCCACAGCTTTCAAGCTGTGCTCTCTCCAGCTCTCTTACAGTGCTCCTTTATCACTCTTAACATAGTTTAAACTACCTAGGATTTCAGTGCATATGGTCATTTGGCATTTTATGTATTACACCTTTGAACCAAGAATATTCACACCCCCATTTGCCTTATTGAGTAAGAATTGACCAGATGGAGATGTCCCTGTCTTTCCCTCCTGAACAAGCTGTATCGAATCAAAACTGCTTCTTTCCTCCCTCCACCCCCACGCTGGCCCTATACATTTTATATATCATCCAAAGGTCACCTCTCGTTATTTCAGCTTCAGGGTTTGGATAAAACTTGGGGATTTTCTCTGGGGAGGCAAGAAGCCAAAGTTCCAACTGAGCAAAATGCACTTAAAATAGATCAGATTGTCCCCTTCTCTGTGTTATGTTTTACAGCACACATGGCTGCTTGTTTATGCTACAAAAGGGGATGGATGGTGGACTTCTGCTATAAGACCATTGCAGTTACCAAAATACAATTTACACAATCTGAAATTTACACCTTGGCTATAATCCCTATTAAAGTTCCTCTTTGTCACGAAATATAAACATTGAGAACAATCTCCGTTATGCCATGATACAGCTTAGAAAGGTTCTGAGCTTGGCTTACAGTCTTCCATTTGACTCTCTATTGCAAAGAAACTGAAATGCGTAAGAAAAGTAAGCTAAGATTCCAAATCAATAACAGGGCAGGGAAAATGTCCTCGCTTAAAAATAATGGTTTTACGTGTTAGAACTACAGCATGACTTGAAGCAAACTTTGCATCACAATATCCCTTGAACTCTGTGACAGTTTGTATTTAGATCTAAACTGCACTGTTGGCTCCTATGTCTCTAATGGGCAGAACATAACCTTGGATTTGAACTTTCACAAAGTTCGGATTTCTTAAGATATGGTTCCAAACTTGCCATTCAGGCCCATCTCTGGACTTCAGGCATGCAGTGTTCTCTGTATTTTTTCTGAAGCAGCTGATACAATACTAATAACCTAGGCAGGGGTTCCCCTTCCTCAGGGATTCATGTGACGATATGACCTTAATTTGCTTGACGGGAGATGTCAGAAAATGGAATGTGGCAGTAACAGTAGACAGGCTGGAGGAGGCCAGTATAAACCTGGGGCCAAATCACGCAATGCTGAGCAGAATGCTTATTGTCACAAACAAAGCACCAAACAGTTTTAATGTAATTAATTTGATCGTTATTAGTTTTTCCTCCTTCCTCAGTATCCCACAAATTCCAAGACAGAAGCATTTAAAATGTGAGCAGATGTTGCTTTCCAGAAGTTCAGCTTTTTCAAAGCATTGGTTGTCCAGGAGTTGCACAATATTTTAGTAGGGTCTTTTTTAATACCCCAAAGAAAAAGACTGAGGAAGAATGGATGGCTCAGAGGAGATGCAAAAGGCTGTGTTTAAAGCCAGGTTTATCTCCGTGGCTGTATAATGGGAGTCTAAAGAGGAAAAAAAACAAAAAAGAAACCTGGAACAGCAGGCATTGCGGGTCAAGAATTGGAGTGTACTGACAGAAACACGTGCAATTTTCCTTGGCATCTAATTATCCTATGCCTGACTCATCACGGTGTGCTTGATGAGCCACATTCCACCCCACTTACTCAGGCTAAAGTAGGACATAATTATATGAGTAGCCTCACTGAAATCAATGAGAATACTTGCAAAACAAGATACTCATGTTGAGTGGTTAAGGTGGCAGCATCAGGTCCTTTGATCATATCTGCACCTATATCACACTCTTCATCTATGGATCTCAGAATGCTATTACTCCTCATGTTATACATAAATTCTTTAAAAATATCTGAAATTGAGCAATTAAAAATAGCTTTGGGCCAAAATATTGGGATTGGAAGGTCTTCACATTGAAGCTACATTTTTTTTCCTCCTCAAAAATGATCCATTTGGTATAAAAGTATAGTAATATGCTGTGTACATTTTAAGGTTGCACTTCTATGACTCACTTAACAATAGCAAGTCCAAGCAATCGGGGGCGGAGGTGGCAGACAGCACTCCCACAGCACCTTGTACTGGCCTGCCACCTATTCAGTGTGCGGTGTATGCACTGGGCCATAGCTTTGCCTCCATCCACAGCATGGGCACTTAGGCACAAGAGTAGAATTTTGCCATAAAGGTATTCCAAACAACAACTGGAATTTCTCTCCATAGAGGCTTACGACAAAGTCAACAGGAAGCTATTTGAGAAGAAGGAGAAATTTATGTAAATATGGCTCCACAGCTCAGTATAGGAGGCTGAGTCTTGTGTGCTGCAGGAGTAAACCAGAAAAAGTTAAGAGGCACTTGGACTCTATTGCCTGTTAGGAATATATTTTCCTACTACTAAACATTGCATATAGGATTACATCTCTGCAAAAGCTGTACTCCATTTTTCCAACAGTTCGGCTTATCCATTTGCCTAAGAGAACATTAACACTACATTAGAGCACTAGAATTCTGCTGGAATATCAATATCAAGGGCCTGTTTCCACTACTGTGAATTGACACCACAGCGATTGATCCACTGGGGGTCGATTTAGGTGGTCTAGTGAAGATCTGCTAAATAGACCATTGATCACTTGGACCTTGACTCAGGTACTCCACCAAAACAAGATGAGTAAGGGGAGTCGACGGGAGACTCTCCTGTTAACCCAGCATAGTGTGAACCCTGCAGTAAGCAGACCTAAGATATGTCAACTAACAAATTATGTAGCTTAGATCAACTTTTTCCTGTAGTATGGACCTGCCTTAAATAAAGCAAATAACTATGAAGAATTTATCAAGCAGATTGATATGGGGCTAAATCTCTCCAATCTTACTCACATGATTAGTCCCATTGAAGTCAGTGGGACTAGTTACAGTAACGAGATAATCACAACTTAGCATATTTCTAGTAATTTAGTAGAATGCAGTGATGACAGTTCATTCAACTCACTGAAGTTTGATCAGGAGGTACTTAATGAGTAGGGTAGTATTGTCACTGTGCTGTAAGTGTAAACAGTTCTTTTACAGGGAGCAACCCTCTATAAGATTACTTTTTACATATTTAAAATGTCAATAGTAAGTTGGTTTTTAGACAAACAAAATTGGAAATTCAGTCTGTAAGTTCTTGAACAGCAGCATCATTAAAAACTGATACTCTGGATCTATATATTAAAATGCAAAGTTCTGCATTAACATATTTAAAAATTAGGTTTTGCCAGGAAAATGGGGTTGAAATTTTCAAACTTTAGTTTCTAAAAATAGACTCCTGAATATTTAGGCATCAAGATGCAGATTCCTTGATTTTCAGTTGTTCTGACCTCATTAACATCAATAGCAACAATGGTTGCTCAGCTGTTCTGGAAATCAGGAATATAAATGTTCCAGTGAAAAATTTCACTTCGGCTACAAAGACATTTTATTTTAAAAATAGCCAAGTTTCATTGCCTCAGATTACAGTGTCTGAAATGTAATTAAAGTAACAATTAATAGAGCAATGTCTCTATGGCAAAAGCTGCGGACTAATTGATATGGCAAAATCTGTAGCTCTTGAAAGTAATTAGAAATCTGCAGCATTCCACATATACTTCATATTCGACTACTGGAAAGTATTACTAGGTGACTGCTTTTTACAATGTATATGGTATTCTATTCAGGCTACACTGAGGATGACCTCATGATATTAGTATCACAAATCTTTACTATTTCAGATTTACTTTCTACCCCTACATATCCCTCCATTTGGAGCAAGCATCATCAAGTAGACTTGTTTTTAAATACAACAAAAATATGAAAGCAGAATTAAGTTTTTTTTAAATCTTTTTTATATGCACTTTTGGATTCAGTTGCAGAATAAACTTTAGGGCATTATTTTCTTTAAATTGTCTTTGAAAGTCATCATGAATTACTCATGTTGCTAAGCCATTGGCAGGTCATGGTAAGCTGCATAGCTGCCAGTCACATGATGGTAAATCTGCAAGGAAAAGGAGAATTTATAATGGCATCATACACAATTAAAGGTAGCATTAGCCAACAAATTAATGACATGTGGAGGGGCACTTGAGTGTAGCTGATGTACCTTTATTTGTTCATTTTTTTCAAGGAGTCTATGTAATATACTAGGGGTGTGAGTATAGAAAGATTTCTGACTATGATGGTTTTCAGATCAGACCAATTTTGAATATAAAATGTACTTTTATTTGTATCTCTCTTTTCCCACCTGTCATATGCTTCCGGTTGTTCTAGAGATTGTAAACTGTACGGGGTACTAGAAACAGATGAATACTCTAGAATGGGTATAACACAATCCTTTCTCCCCTATGGCTGTTCCGTAGCACGAGGAAAAATCTCTTAATGTATGCTGCTGCTACTACTATTGAATCTTATGTCTTGTATATTCTTACTGGAGGATCGACGCATTCTGGCATTCAATTTTCCAGGGTTCGATTTAGCTTGTCTAGTAAAGACCTGCTAAATCAAACACTGATTGCACCCCCATCTACCACACAGAGTAAGAAAAGTCAACAGGACAGTATCTGCCATCAACCTTCCACATGGGGGGAGCGGAAATCGGTCGCCCCAGAAAAATCCACGTAAGGTGCGTTGACTCCAGCTATGCAAGTGTCATAGCTGGATTTGGGTACCTTATATCAATTTTCTCTGCCAGTGTAGACCTGGTCTAATACTATGATTGTGGCAGGCAAGCACTTTGTAGGCAGGTAATTTTATCCCTCAAGAAATTACCAACATCTGGTCCCATCCATCCCCCCTTTGTTAACATTCACCCTTTCTGAAGGATGAGAAACAAAGATGGCATCGCAGCAACTTGTGGAGGAGATCAGCAGCACTAGCTGAAAGCAAGAAGAGTATATTTTCTGCTCCATACTGTGAGCCTGGCCCAAACAGCTGCCTAAGTAGGCAATACAGACTGATTGGATCCCAGGAGTCCCCTAATGACTCCCTGTAGAAACCTGCTAGATTTAAAGCATGGAAGCAAAGTTGTAATTCTTAAATAATTAGAAGTGTGTTCCATTATCCTTGAAATGGTGGAATACGTACGTTGTGAAAGCAAAAGGCAAACCTTTTCTAGGAAAATGTTTTCTCTGAACCAGGGTGGAAATTGCTATTAGGAACGTAGGATGTAAGACTGGAAGGAAAACCCTGCTCTCGCAGAACTAACCTGTCTCTCAATATCGGACAGCAACGTGCTGGCACCTAGGCGAAAGAGGTCTGGTTTCAGCCACTCATCTCCTAGCTCTTCCTTCATCAATATGAGCCAGGTAAGAGCATCCTTTGCACTACGAATGCCTCCAGCAGGTTTAAATCCAACCTTAAAGAGAGCATAATACATTTAAGTGATTTGTCTTCGTTTTAGGAGAAATGAAAACTGGCATATCTTCAGCTGAGAAATATCCACAATAAACAAACTAGACTCCATTACAGGTTAGGTTCTAAGTATAAGCAAAGCCCTGAACAAGCAATACCCTACACCAACTCAGGAATAGTCTTGGAACGCTCTGTGCCTCACGCACTCCTATGGGAGGTACAGTTCCTCTTTCTCCAGAGCAAGAGAGGGTGAGGGGGAAGAGGTAGGAAACAGACAGACTTGTCGCTACCCCATTTTCTCATTGTGTTTCCAGAAAGAAAGTGGAAGCAGAGAGGAAGTAATGTCTCCAGCTCCTACATGCCTGTTCTCAAGTTTTGGGGAGCTGATGTTGGGGCATAAAGGATGATTCTTATTTCTTTGCACAATCACACAGATTATTAGAGTTTTACAGAAATTAATAAGCACACATGCACAATCATAGCCTCAAAGAGGTCTGGATGCATCGGGGGTTATCTGTCAACCATAGAGAAGCTTCTCCTTATGCCCTCACTTCCTGAGAAGATTATCATTCTGTTAAATATCTGAAGCAGTTATAGCCTGGAAAGCATGAATTCCATTGTCTACAGGATTCAGTGAGGGACATAAGAAAATTTATTGGAATTAAAAAAAAAATCTTTAAGCTATGTGTTTGGTAAAGATTATAGTAATTTAACAAAATAAACTTGTAGAAGAAGTATGTTTCTCTCACACTAAAGCATTCTAACAACACTATTTCCAAAAGATAAAAACAGGAAAAGCTTCTGAATCTGAAATGCAGACAGAGAGAGAGAGGGAATATAATAGCTCTAGTTTTCCAAAAATAATTCAAACCACAGCACTGGAAAAACATTTGCAATGCAAAGAATCAAAGCAAAGTATATATGGTGTCGTTTTCTTTCACAAAGGGAAAAACTAATGAAAATCTCATTATAGTCTTCCTACCAGTGCTCTTTGAGATAATCTGTGGCTGAAACATGTAAACTTGGGAGGGTTTTTTTAAAGGTTGGAGAGAGAATAATTAAAAATTACACTTGCACAATTTTTCCTGTTAAACATTAATATTCTAAAAAAGTTGTTTTTTCAACTGGCTTATATTTGCCTCCATTTCCCAGCTTTCCAAAGAACACATCTGACTGCCATAAAAATGCATAAGAAAAAAAAAGATATTTAATTCAAGAGCTGTATAACGTCTAGCTGCCTTTTCCTTGCTGTTTCACAGCATTTCATTATTTTGTTTAATAAGTTCATCTCCTCGAGAATTTTCTCTTCACCTTATATTATTAAAAGTAATATGTTTTCTGGATTGGGGGTTTCCCAACAGAAAAACCAATTTATGTGTGTCCTTCAATAATGACAGGAAAAGATTATTTCCCATTATATTGCACACTTTTCATATCACTACCACAGCTTATCATTCAATAAATGTTACTCTGCAACCTGTTCCTTTCCTTGAAAAAGTTTAATTTCTGTATTAACCTGTTTTTGCTGGCTCACGCGTTGCTAGAAAGCATCTGTACAGCAGCAGAATTAGTTTGTTAAAGAAACCATTTAGAAATCTCTTGTCACTGATAAAATTGTCTTCTGTTAATAGAACGATATAAAGTCAGTTTACATCTAATTCTCTCTCTCTCTCTCTCACACACTCACACACACACACACACACACACACACACACACACACACACACAGTCTTGTAATATCACATTTTCAACTGTGAATGAATTCTGTTAAAATGAAAGGTAAATTAAACAATTATAAAAATCAAATATAAAAATCTTATAGTAATGTGGTGTGAAAGGGCAAAGCTTGACTTCTGGCATACAGCTCATGGAATTGGGATCTGTATTGAGGACAGCCATTGAGGCTGAAGGTGGGAAGAATCCCTTCCTTCACAGGTTACAGACGTGTTCCGCTAGTCACGTGGCTGCAGGAGTCGCCACAGCCATTACATACATACACACACATATAGAGGGAAATAGCAAATGGAGTCCCATGGGCCTTATTTAGAATAGGGCCAAAGGTGAGTTGTTAGAATGTACCATGTTCTAACATCACACATTTAAAATCCTGCTGTAGCCAACGCCACAGTTGTGGATACATTAGATCAGATTCTCTTTTACAGTAAGACCCATGTAAACTGTTCTGGTGGCTTAAAGAGAAGAAGTGGCCTCCTGAGACTGTCTCAGCAAGGGGCCTTCCCAGCTGACGTACAGGCAGGGTTGGTTACCAAAACTGCTTTAAAACTGAAGAAATTTGGAGGGGCAGGAGGACAAGCAGGGACAAAGGTACACGGTGGGCTCACCATAGTCCCAGAATCCACTCTGGGCGAGGTGATCTAGTTATACAGAGTGTTGGGCTTCTTTTAGGGATTGGCTTGTTTTGAAACAGGATTAGCTTGATTTCTAGTTTATGAAAGTTGAGGTGCTTATTTACAGCATGAAAGCTGGCAAAGGTCCCAGACCTGGAGCTCCCGGCTGTTGGAGAGGAATGTGGGCTGCTGCTCCTTCTCCATCCTTCCTTCCAGCAAGGGGGGGGCAAAAGAGGTCCCTTCCTCCAGAGCTCCATGCTGCTGGCAGGGAGAGGGCTGAGGGGAATCCTCTGGTCCCAGTCTCAGGGCAGCCTGCCTGCCCCCCAAAATTCTCACCCCTAGCCTCACCCCACAGCCTGTATCCCCAGCCAGACCTCTCACTCCCTTCACACACATCCCAACCCTATTTTATAAAAGGAGTCTTGTGTTACTGTACAAGTAGACTACATTGTAGTTACATGAGTGGCTCTGTAACCTTACATCATTAAGGAATAGTAAGCTATGTGTTTATGTAGTAGTTGATGGGGCTTTCACACTGAAGCTTTTGCCAAAGTGGTCATTACTTCAAAAATAGTGAAAAGCATTGTTCTAACTTAATCTGGGGTTTAGACAGGCCCCCAGCTGCCCCAGAACACAGGAAAGGAAAAGGTGGATTAGAGCTTCCTTTGGCCAACTTCCCCTTCCATTACTGCCACGAAAACAGGGCCAGATGAATGAAAAATTGGAACTGTCCCAAGTCTCCCCTCCACAGTGAGATGGAAGGACACTAGCAATAAACACATTGGGTAAGCTCTAAGTACCTTGTTCCCTTCTCATATTAGTTCTGCTGCAGAACTTACACTCTGCCTTTGATGGCTGGTGGGAAGCCCTACATGGCCAAGAAGAAACCAGCAGAACTTCCACTTTGGACATGAATATAAAACAATTATTGCATGGTCAATTTTCAATTGGTATAAATCTGTGCTGCTCTGTAAACTTCATGGATCTAGCCCATGGATCAGCTGAGGATCTGGCCCAATGTTTAGTAAAATTCACTTTTAAACAGCCTAAGTAGTCAACCTAAACACTACATATATGCAATGGGGATTGAATGGATGTTGCTCAGATTTTTCTCAGGGGGAAAAAAATCCTCTTTAACTGAGACTTAAAATTCAGCCAACGAGGAACATCTTCATAAGCCAATGGAAAGAGGGAGCTACAGGTCGACCCTCTCTAGTCCAGAACTCCCTGGTCCAGAAACATCCCTCATCTGGAATGATTTTAATTAGCTGGATGTCCACTTTTCACAGGTGTGGCCAAGTTTTCTGATGTCCCATAAAGTTTGTTTACAGCCACTAGTCTTAGCTCTCAGTGTTCTGTGCTGTTATTTAGCTCTAATTTACTCCTAAATGTCTTTAGTAAACAGTGGAAGTGCTGGTAATACTGCTAGACAATATTGACCTGCCATGATCCAGAAAATTCTCTGGTTCAAAACTGAGGATGCCGGACTAGAGAGTTTCAACCTGTATAAGGAAAATGAGTTGCAGCTTGACCTTTATGAAAGCTCAAATGCATATAAATCAATTAATCATATGTTCTATATTTTGAAAATAATCAGGTTTTACCTCAACTTCTCATTGAAATTGCAACATTTTTATTTACAGAAAAGATTCCAATCATAAGAATTACCTTGTTGCCAGTTTTCCAGTAGAAATCTCTAATGGCTCGCATCATGACTATGCCTACAGGAAGGGTGGCATTAACTGCTTCTTTTCCTGTAGAGGTCTTAATAAAGTCAGAACCTTTAAAAGAAACAGAAAATTCCATGTCAGTGTTATAACAGTAATTCGTTGCACATATATATAGCTCCTCTCATCCAAGGATCTCATTATGCTTTACAATCATTATTAAGCCTTATATCATCCCCATAAAGTAGGCATGATCCCTATTTTATAGATGGAGAACCTCAACCACAATAAGATTAAGAGTCCTGTTCAAAGTTTCAGAGCAATTCAGAAGAACAACCAGGGGACAAAATCTAGGCATTTCTACTCAGTTCCTGTCTCTATCCATCACAACAAAATCCATCTTCACTCATGTGCCAATCAGATGATGTTATGATATACAATATTTAAATGCATGATCAGTAACGAATAAAGGAATTAGAGAAATACTCCCCAAAAAAGCCATTCCTGGCTTATTTTACTTTGCATTTTCATTTGAATACAATGTTGTTCTTCCTTTTATGGCCTGAGCTCTTAGAATTATAGAATCATAGGACTGGAAGGGACCTCTAGAAGTCATGAAGTCCAGTCCCCTGCACTCATAGCAGGACCAAGCATCAGCTAGACCATTCCTAACAGGTGTTCATCTAACCTCCTCTTAAAAATCTCCACTGATGGAAATCCTACAAGTGTTTCCAATGGTCCAACCTAAAACTCACTTGTTGCAATTTAAGCCCATTGCTTCTTGTCCTATCATCAGAGGTTAAGGAGAATAATTTTCCTTCCTCCTCATTAGAACCATTTAGTTACTTGAAAACTGTTATGTTCCCTCTGTGTTCTCTTTTCTAAACTAAACAAACCCAATTCTTTCAATCTTTCCTCCTCATAGGTCATGTTTTCTACACCTTTAATAATTTGTATTACTCTTTGTACTTTTTCCAGTTTCTCCACATCTTTTCTGAAATGTGGCACCCTGAACTGGACACAATACTCCAACTGAAGCCTAATTAGCATGGAGTAGAGAGGAAGAATTACTTCTTGTCTCTTCCTTACAACATTCCCGCTAATACGTCCCTGAATGATATCTGCTTTTTTTGCAACAGTGTCACACTGTTGACTTAATTTAACTTGTGGTTCTCTCTGACCTCCTGATCACTTTCCACAGTACTCCTTCCTAGGATGTCATTTCCCATTTTGTATGTCTGCAACTGATTGTTTCCTCCTAAGTAGAGTACTCTGTATTAACCTTATTGAATTCCATCCTATTTACCTCAGAACATTTCTCATTAAGCACTTCTGTCATTTCCACATTTTCTGTTATTGTTTTTTCCTCTTCATGAGTAACGCTCCTACCTTTCCTTGGTCGTCTTCTTGCTTCTACTGTATTTGTAGGATGCTTTCTGGTTATTCTTTCTGTCTCTAACTAGTTTGATCTTGTTTTGTGTCTTGGCCCTTCTAATTTTGCCCCTACACACATATGTTATTTGTTTATATTCATGCTTTATAATTTGACCTAATTCCACTTTTTGTAGGGCTCTTTTTTATACTTGTCATACTTCCTATCTTTCCTGTGTAGTGTTGGTTGCACCCTGCTGCATTTCAGTGTTGTCTAAAGTGAATCCTGCAACACAGTATTCCATTTGTGAAAAAGCTGCTTTTGGGGGGGAGAGGGGGGAAGGAGTGTAGTGGGGCTGTCTGCTGCTGCTCAGATGACTGTAATACAGGAGGCTGAAGCCCGGGGAATTACAAGCTCTTTAATTAGCAAAAGTAGTCTGGGAGACCAATTCAACCATAAGGTAAAACAGTGCTGTCCCCATTTAAATCAACAGGTGCTATATTTGTTTATACTTTGGCATCGAATTTATCTCAAGGTCTGTTTTATATCTCATCTGAACGGTGGCATCTCCAACAGCACAGTGCCTTCTAATAGAAAGCTGGAGCAGTTTCATTATGAGAGCAAAGTGAAAGAGGCCATCTCTTTAATCATTAACACCACATCGTGCAGCACCAATGGTTTCCCTGCAAGTTTCCTATTCAAGTACTGAACAGGCCAATTGCCGTTTAAGTTGCGTCACCTGATGTTGATCAGATGTAGACAACTTAGAAACTCTTCTTTACACCGCTGGGATGCAATTTAAAGTAAGGGGCAATTCATAATTGATTGACCTTTGCAAAACATTAAGATGGATCAAGTAATATATTTTATTGGACCAACTTGTTTCATTTTTCTACCAACAGGAGTTGGTCCAATAAAAGATCTTACATCATCCATCTTTTCTCTCTAGTGTCCTGGGACCAACATCACTACAATAACATTGCAAACAAAAATTAAGGTCATACAAGCACTAAACAAGTTCTATACTTCGGGGCCATTCCCACTGAAACCAGAGTTTTGCTGCTGATTTAAAAGAGAGGATTGAGCCCACTGTACACACTTGGTCACAGTGGGTTTTTTTTTAATGGAAATGAAACTGTAACACTATATCAAATTATATTTTGCAGTTTTCTTTTTAACCGAAGAATGTAAGTCCTTCAGTACAATATTCCCTTCCCTCACCCCCCAGTACAAGGTAAGTCAAAGCTTTTATAAGTCTTATAATTACAAGTCTCTATGGTACAGTTTCATTAAAAACTTCCATTAAACAACAGCTGCCCTTGTATATGGTCGTCTAATCAATTTGGTCAAACAGAATGACTTCTAATCAGCTGTTGATAAAAATAGAAGATGAAATTTTAATTCTAATAGATTAACCACAAACTCAAGATAGTCTTCAAAATCCATCTAGCTCCATTCTCCAGTGGATTTAACGACTATTCAGCAGCTCATTACTAAATAGAACAAGATGAACATTTTCCAGTTCATTAAAGAAATGTACTATGTATTTTTGCATTGTCCTCATGATTCGTTACAGGGAGTCTTAATTACAAGATAATGGATAATGGTTATTAAATGCAGACTCCAGTAATGAAGCTCTATTCATTTGCGAGCCTCAGAGAGCGCAAAGAGGGGAAAATAAAATTACTAGCTTCAAAAGATTAACGGATCAAATTATTATTCAATTTTGAAAATTTCATTGACTTCATAGAAACAAGAAGAGATTAAAAACTAGTATTAGTACAAAAGTAGTGCATTTATTTATTTATTTTTAAATAATATCTTAAGGCTATTATGAGAATAATCAGCTTTTGGATGTGATTATTAGACAAACATACCGCCAATTTAGCATCATCTCCTAACAATGAAAACAATACATTTTTATTTCATGAACAAATTCTATTTATGATACAAAAGCTTGACAGCAGGATTTCATAAAGAATCTTGCGGAACACAGAAGATGTATGCTAACAGGGAGCATTACAGTGTAAGGTATTATTAACATTTTATATTTCACATATGAAAAAAGGGATTTAAAAATTGACCACTGTTTTGGGAGCATGTCATTAAGTGGAATTCATGCCAACCTTGTAATTGGAGTATCTGGTGACATTATTCACCAGCTCCCCTGTTTTCTATACTTGTAAAAAACAAAACAAGACATGCTATTGGCAAAAGTTCAGCAAGAGTTTTATCTGGTGATTTAGACAATTTTGAATCTAAAACCATCATCCAGCTGTCCTTTTATGAATGCACATACACAAAGACAAACGGTTTTTCAAATATATTTCTCAATAGCCTGTGAGGTAGAAAGTGAGTAGGTGAAATACTAAGGCTAAGAATCTTCAAAAATGAGTGCGTAAATTCAGGCTTCTATGTCCAAATCCTCAAATATCTTTTAATAAAGATTTAGGTACCTAAATATCTTGAGGATCTAGGCCTTAGGTCCATCTATAGGCCCTGATCCCAGAACATGCAGAACACAGGTGGAAGGCTGTGCCAATGCAGAGACACTTTTCAAGTGAGTGTGAAGGGAGTTCGGCACCCAATGCCTATTCCATTTCAATGGGATTTGGGTGCCCAAAATCCTTAGCTACCTTTGAAAATCTCAGCTATTGACTTGAATGTGGTTTTGTGTGTGCTCAGTAGTATGCCTGCATGCTGTATTATATATAGGCCCGTACCACAGTCATGGTCCATTTTGATCAATTCCACAGTCATAGGATTTTAAAAATTGTAAATTTCATTATTTCAGATTTAAATCTGAAATGTTACGGTGTTGTACCTGCAAGGGTCCTGGTCTATAAGAGGATGCGTGGGGGATTGCCAGGTTAGTGGAGAAGGGTCATGGTACTGTCCCCTTTATTTCAGCAGAGCTGCTGGTGGTGATGCTACTTGCAGAGCTGGGTGGCTGAGAGCGGTGGCTGCTAGCTGGGAGCCCAGCTCTGAAGGCAGTGACGCTGCTAGCAGCAGCACAGATTTAAGGCATGGTACAGTATCGTCACCCTTATTTTCTGCTCTTCAGAGCTGGCTGCCTGACAGCAGCCACTGCTGACTAGCCACCAGCTCTGAATACAACACAGAGGTAAAGGTAGCAATACCACAACCCCCCAGAGCCCTATTTGGGTCATGACACCCTGTTTGAGAAATGCTGGCCTCACCTATGAAATCTGTGTATTATAGGGTAAAAGTATACAAAGGATCAGATTTCATTGGGGCTGATTAATTTTTCCTGGTCATGAGTTTCATAGGGCCTTGATTATACAAAACCAGGAACTATTTCCTGGTTTCCCTTTATTCCCGTGAGCTCAAACTAGCTACAGGAATAAAGGGAAACAAGAAGACTTTTTATAAATACATTAGAAGCAAGAGGAAGACCAAGGACAGGGTAGGCCCACTGGTCAGTGAGGAGGGAGAAACAGTAACAGGAAACTTGGAAATAGCAGAGATGCTAAATGACTTGTTTGTTTCGGTCTTCATTGAGACGTCTGAAGGAATGCCTAATATAGTGAATGCTAGTGGGAAGGGGGTAGTTTTAGAAGATAAAATTAAAAAAAAGAACAAGTTAAAAATCACCTAGAAAAGTTAGATGCCTGCAAGTCACCAGGGCCTGATGAAATGCATCCTAGAATACTGAAGGAGCTGATAGAGGAGGTATCTGAGCCTCTAGCTATCATCTTGGGAAAATCATGGGAGACAGGAG